ACCGCTCGACCAAAAAACTTTTGGCTTTGGACAGACGGAACTTTTGATTCTTTGATTAATTTTCTTATTTAATTGTGACAGTTATGATTCCATTTTAATGACATCGTTACAGTCCCTATGTGACTCATTAAACACACCGAATGAAACGAAATCAATCTCTTCCTCTCTTACTCTTCTTCTTTGTCTTTTTTCTCTTGCTGCAACCAAGGTATAATCCGGATCAAGTGAGGGTTCGGCCAATCTAGAAGAATTGCTTACAACTGTTGTATCCTAGGAAACAAACACCCATATACGGCGAATTTATTTTAAGGAAACTGTGTTAAACATATGTCTCAGTGAACTTTATGCTTTTGTTCTTTCGTACAATTTTGGGTTATATTTTCCTAACATATAATTCATCGCATCGATTAGCAAACTTCATACAGGCATGATGACATGGTTTTGTATTTTGAGGGACCAACCAACGTTTGAAATATTTGTGATTGTATATTGACCTTTAGATAGTAAACCCTTCAATCAAATATGTCTAAACATTAGTCCTAAATAACTTACAATAAGCACCCTATAAATTAATAATACAACCAAAATATATCCAGCAAGCCAAAAATGATGTTAAGTTTGAATTATAAAAAAAATTATAATATTTCAGTGCATTCCTCCACTAATAGCTATCAGATTGTAGCAAGTCCTCTACTTTTCTTCCAATGAAAATTAAGTTATAAATGTGTGAGGTCCATAGGCAATAGGTTGATTTTATGTTTTTTCTTTAAAATGCATTATGATATATATATATATATATATATATATATATATATATATATATATATATATATTCAGATATTATAACTAATTATTGTGTAATTGTATGCATAATTGTAGGTCAATCATTTCAAAAACCTAGATAGGGGTAAAATTGTAATCTTACTTATTAATTAATTTTGGTAATTTAATAATTAAATTATTATTTCCTTAAATTTAGGAAAATTAATTTAAAACCCTACCGTAGACATCGACCTTTAAACTGTAACCGGTTTTGGTGGGTGCAACTTCAACAGAGAACAACGAGGGGGAAGGGACGAAAGGTGAAGTTGTGATTGAGGAACTATACTAATCTAGAGAAGGAGAGGTCAATCTAGAGGTGTTCGGCTTGTAGTTGCGGTTCCAAGGTAATGGTTCTCCTCATTCATTCTCCTCTTTTTTTAGTTCGTTCCTCATCTTCAAATCACCATCACCGTCGGCTGCCATGGCCACCGGCCATTGCTGTCTTCATCGACTACCTGCCACCTTGTTGTGGTGGCAGTGGGTGTGTCTCGGAGGCATAGTCGTTGACTCTCACGACTGATTGTTCTGGATTGAATCACGACCTTCTAAATCAGGGTAAGATGCTTAAGCATTTATGTTAAACCCTAAAATCATCACCCATAAATATGTTTGTCTTAACTTTGCCCGTGATCGGCCTGATCTCATGAGGTATATAACATTGTTCTTCATTGGGTTTCTAATTTACTATGCTTCTCACTTGTTCGTCCATAATCCTCTCTGTGAAACTTCTCCACCTCTTGAATGATAATATCGTTTTCAAATTTCTCCATTACTTATCAGGAGACAATCGGGATCAGGTTGAGTTGAAAAGGGGAGATTGGTTATGTAAAAGGTATACTAAATGTTGTAATATGTTTCAGCATTATTATTTGTATTCAAAGGTATATCTTGATTTATAATTTTCCTGCCAAACAAAACTTCGATCAATTGCAGATGGACCTCTAGTGAGCTACGCAGATGGAGTTTATGATACATGACTTAATCGATACATCACTGTTAGATGATAGTGAGGGATGAGGTGTAGATATATTGTTAGGTCGATCATTTAACCTTAGGATTATTGCTTGAAATTGCCATGGAAAGAAGATTAAGAAATAACAATACGTGGTTGTATTTATCATTTGCAGGTACACATGAAATCAAGAACAAGAATGTTCTTGTTTTTTTGGCTGGGAACGAAATGAGAGATATCAAAGCAAAACAGGGTACATATGAAACCTAGAACATTCTACTGGAATGGAATCTTGAATTTTGATTCTGTCATAATAGAATCTTGAAGATGAACATTGTATGGGATGAAGATCAACAATGACCACCAATCTTCCAAAAAGAATGGATTATTTCAACAGAATAATATACAATATAATGTAAAAAAATATATATGTAATAGTATATTCTGGTAGAATGATGTATATATTGTATTTCTTTGTTATTAATAAGTGTAACATTCTCATAGAATAGTATATAAACTTTTTTCTTTTCTAAGAATATAATGAAATTTTTTTAACTTGTATCCAAAATTTTGTTATTCTTTAAAAAGTTCATTAAATCAAAATATATATTATGTCAGAATGTGTATTCTTGTATGGTTCAATCATATTTGTTATTTTTCAATATATTGATAAACATATTCCGTCAGAATGTTACCAATTAGGAAAATTATCATCCATACAATCAGATTTTTAAAATTAATAGAATCTATTTTCCCTTGAAATATGCAAATTTCCTTTATTAAATCTATATTAATTGACTAAAATACTCTTCTAATTAGAATATATGGTAATTTTAATTATATTTAATTCTATAATATGTAATAATCACTTGCTTAAAATAAGTAAAATTGATTGGCCCACATTTATGCATACAATAACACAATAATTACTTTGAATAGAATAACCTAAGTCTATATATATATATATATATATATATATATATATATATATATATATATATATATATATCCAAAGAGCAAAGAGAAAATGACAACAAGACTTGTATTAAGCAAACAATCATGTAATACAAGTTCACATCCTAGATGAAATAAAGTACTAAAAAACAATCCCAATAAGGGGACAGCTTGAATTAATTTCTAAATCAATTTCAGACGGGTATTTTAGGCTCATGATGATTACAAAAAGACACACAAACTAATAGAATTTGAAAGATTTTTTTGTTATTTATATCATCTTACGTTTGTAGATTTTTGTTAGTTTTGGTATTTGATTTTGCTTTAAGTTTTCTATAGCAACATTGTACAATAAATATTGCATTGTTTTTTTTTTCTATTTGAGCATTGCACTATATTTATATTTTGGTTATTTATAACATTTTACTTTTGTTTTTCTTTCAATGATAGAATTGTATTTTAAACAATTATATTATGTTGTTGCTCTTTATTGTAGTGATTTACTTTTTGTTTCATTGCCAATAATAACATCTTACTTTGTTTGTTTTTTATACAATCCACATTTTTTTACAAAAAAGCATCCTACAATAATAGCATCCTAATTTATTTGTTTTTTTTAGGGCACACATTGTTTTTTTTTATAAAAAGCAGCATTCTCAATAATAGCATCCTACTTTACTTGTTTTTTCAACAACATCTTCCTACAACAATAGCATTCTCAATAATAGCATTTTCAATAAAAGCATCCTACAAAAAATACACATTACATACAAATTAAAATATACATACATAATGTGATGCTTTCATTAATAGAAATACACATTATACGAAGATACAATCCACATTACATACAAGTACACATATACTTTAAATGTCATTATCAATAATAGCATCCTACTTTATTTGTTTTTTTTCACTATAGCCTCACAATATAAACATTACATTCAATCCACATTTCATACATAGAAATACATATTATACACACAAATACACATATACATACAATCCACATTTCTTACATATATACAAATACACGTGTTATACATACACATTTCACACACACATACAATCCATATTTCATACATAAAAATACAAAATGTACAAAAATATTGCTAACTTCACATAATAGCCACAAATAAATCTTTTTTCAAATAATCTCAAAATTAGAGGAGAAAGGTACCTATGGTGGCCGGAAATCAACAATGGTGACCGGAAAATCAACAATCTTTGTCGGTGACAATCAAAAGTCGGCGGAGAAACTCCAAAAATTGAAACTCAATATTTTTTAGAAATTAATCTCGAATGTATATTGGAAATTAAGGTTATAAGAGAAATAAATAGAGAAATTATGACATCCTGGAATTTAGGTCTAAAACTTAAGGCAGTCAATTCACCACGAACTTTTTTAGACCTAACCAATTGAGCTTTAATGCATATTTTGAAAAATAAATAGTGTCATTACAATTAAAATAAGATATGAAATAGTATCTTACTTTTAATTGTGGAACATCTCAAACGAATCATAAAACACATATTCTAACCCTAGTTAATACGTCTGAAAAACTAAATTTTCGTATTAAATAGTTGTGAGCAAAGCAAACACCATACCTCGTAGTACATGTTCACCTGAGTCCGAAAATATAAAGAAGGTCCAAAACGGAGCAAAGCAAACAAGTAAAATATTGATTTTCTTTAAACTACATAAAACTTTTCGATCCGTTGAGGCAATTTCAAACCTCAAATAGAAATTCTGAGAACCTTTTTGGACTTAGACTATAGTCTATTATTTGATTCCATACTTCTAATATGTTTAGCAAAAATATTTAGAAAATTCAAAAAATTGGACGAATCAGATCAATTAAATGCAAATTTTTAAACGCAAGTTCATGAAGTTCTACAAATGGAAAAATTGATATGTTTTGGTCTTCGGAATCAGTGCACTCGGATTTATAATTAACCACTTTCGAAAAAATTATTAGATGTCGAGATCTTGGCACGTAAATCTAGAAAGGTTTTGAGGCATTTAAGGGAAAGATGACATCACCCAACATTTCCACCTTCCATGAGAGTAAAAAATCCACCCACTTTTTCATCTTTGCCTTGCCCACATCCATAACCCTCCTCTATCACCACCTAGACTTGTTGAGTGCACTCTTGTTCCAAGTACTAAGCATACGTTGTTTAGAGTATTTGACTAACTAAAGATGTAAGGCTTGCATGGTCTTGTAAGCTTGCAAGGGACTATAAATTGAGACCCTTGCCTCCCCATTTCATGACAAATTCATCAACCAACTCACTCCATCCCTCTTGCTCTCTTTCTTACCGCAAGAAAATCACCACCGAGAGTGGTTTGAAACTCCGGTTGTTGAACCACCAAGGCCACCGCCACCCTCCACCTTTCATGTTTTTTTCATCGACCAGCCACCCTGCAAACACCCTCTTCCATCAGCTTCCTCCCCTTCCCTTCATATATTTTGTCGGGTACAAGATGAAGCAGCGTTGAGGTTGCCAGAGCAACCTCCTAACACCCTACTGCCGCTAATAGCCACTAAGGCTATGGTGGTGCTCCCTCTTCTTCCTTATTCGAATAAAAACAACCTTATTCCTTGTTATTTTGTGGGGGGGTTTTTTCAAGTCGAAGCAAACGGATTAAGTTTAATGCTAATTCGCTCTATCCCGCGGTGCTTCCAAAAAACGACCCATACTCACATCTAAACCGAGTTCATGCATAAAGGGTGAGTGTTTAGCCACTATTTTAAAGCTATTTAACATTTTGGGGAGAATACATGTAAATCCGTATATCGTTTATGAAAAACACTCATGAAATCATGTCTCGTTTATAAACAATAGTTTGCTAAAAAAAAATACATTGTTTACTAAAAACTAGCTATAAACTTGATATATATATATATATATATATATATATATATATATATATATATATATATATATATATATATATATATATAATATAGGTAAAGGTTCAAATGAGAACCATAAAAAGTTAAGAACCATAAGAACCACTTTTTTTACCTTATAATCATAAGACATATTTGATCAATCTTATCTCACGACAAATTTTCTCTCTCTCTCTCTCTCTCTCTCTCTCTCTCTCTCTCTCTCTACTACCGCTGCCGACCACCACCACCATCGTCAGCACCTACCATCGCCGTCGGAGCCACCACCGCTGCTTCCGCCACCACCGTCGTTGACTACGGCCTAACGCATGTCTTATCTTTCCTTTGTCACTACACTACTATCACCACCTCCCTTTTCTATGGTGGTTCTAGATCTGAAAAAATAAGGTGACCGCCACCGTCAACGACTATAAAACCACTGACGACCGCCACTATTTTCTCTCACACCAAATCTAACCATATCTGATGTAGATCTGAGTATTTGGTGTTATTTCATAAAGTTTTTTTTCCTTATTTCACCATGTTATCATTGGATTCACATCAAATCTGTTCTCCTATCGTTGTTGTCATTGTTGGAGCATAACAAATCACAAATCGCAGACATCATTGCAACCTACTGGTGCTAATCTACTGGTTTTTTTTCTAGAACTCTTGAACTCATTTTTTTTCTCTTATAGTTCAATCTCCAGCGAAATCTCAGCTACATATGTACTAGATTTGTTTCGCGGCTAACTTTTTCTTCTCTCTAATTCGTCTCTATTTATTTTCTATGATCTCTTGTCAAACACCACCAGATCGTGATCAGATTTGATGTATTTGTGTTATTTCAGGTTAGATTTAGTGTTTATACGTGTGGTATATCTCATGGTGGCCGATGACGGTTCCACCACCACATTAGATCTGGTCTTCGGTGATACTGTTTACATGAAAAGGTTCTAAAAAAAAGATGCACACAAGGTGCTTGATGAAATGCCCCAAAGCAAACCACAGGAAATCGCAGACATCATTGCAACCTACTGGTGCTAATCTACTGGTTTTTTTTCTAGAACTCTTGAACTCATTTTTTTTTCTTTGATAGTTCAATCTCCGGCGAAATCTCAGCTACATATGTACTAGATTTGTTTCGCGGCCAACTTTTTCTTCTCTCTAATTCGTCTCTATTTATTTTCTATGATCTCTTGTCAAACAACACCAGATCGTGATCAGATTTGATGTATTTGTGTTATTTCAGGTTAGATTTAGTGTTTATACGTGTGGTATATCTCATGGTGGCCGATGACGGTTCCACCACCACATTAGATCTGGTCTTTGGTGATACTGTTTACATGAAAAGGTTCTAAAAAAAAGATGCACACAAGGTGCTTGATGAAATGCCCCAAAGCAAACCACAGGAAAACACCACCGGTTACCTGTGACCTAAAATTAAAATCAATCTTGAAACATTAACCATATTGAATCATCCATCGGAAATACATCAAACGAACTGGTTCAACAAAGATCAGAGAGAGAGACAGGAGCAAATCAGCTAGATGAAAGAGGGAGGACATGGATTCCATAACCATCGCTTAATCTGAATCAATTTATGATGTGAACCCTAAATTTAAAATCGATTTTTGTGGATGCAGGGATGATCTTCATAAAAACGGATCTCTCCATCGTAACAATCAAGATGAATTCCATAACAATCGCTAAATCTAGAGGGTAGGAAATTGTAATTCGCCGACCACCGCTTTCACCTCTACCGAGAAATCCAAAAATCGACATCAAGCCTCATTCAACAAATCCAAACATGCGTGGGTTACTTCGAGAATGCTTTCAGTTACTCCGAGATTGCTTTCAGTATAGTTTGATTGGCGGTGCTCGTCGATTCTCAGGAGGTTCGAGATCCAAAGAGTACGTCTACCCAATCACTTTAGGGTTTTTCTTCACGATGGATGGTCACCATAGAAGGTGACTGTGCCTCTCGGTGGTCACCACAGGAACACCACCCTTGGTGGTGTTTGTACTCAGCGGTGAATAGAGAGGAAAGGTAGCAGACAGCGGTGGTTCTTGGTTCGAATAAAGAGGAAGATGGAGGAGGTCAGGAAATGGTGGTATTGGCTGGTGAGATATGAACAAAAGGGAGGGATGCTTTGATTAAGGGAGGGTTATATATATATATATATATATATATATATATATATATATATATATATATATATATATATATATATATATATATATATATATATATATATATATATATATATATATTATTTTTTATTTTTCTTTTAATCAGAAAAAACATTTAAATAAATAAAAAATAGAAAAAGAAAGTATGAAGGGTAAATCCATCATTTTAAATATTCTAAATTCAAATTGGATTAAAATTGCAACAAAATGAAAACTTAGGACTTGTGATGCTAGTCAAAACTTTTTTGGATCAAAGTGGCAATTTTGAGCAAACCACAGAGACCATTTGTGCAGTTTAGTCTAAATTTTATTTAAAACTTACTACAATAAATTCACAATTTAATACATAGAAAGGTCAGAATATATGAACGTATAAATGTAGTTTTTAAGTTGATAATATTGATGTGAATAAATATTGTTTCGTATTAAACAGTGAATTGACTATATTAAGGTATGAATTGATTGTATTATGTTGCGAATTTGTTATGAATTTTGTGTTTGCTTCTGAAACATGAAAAGAAATAATCATTATACACATATATGATTTTTTTTTTTCTAAATTTAAATAAATTATACAAAAATTTAAATTAAGAATATTGTGTAAATTAAACTATGAAAAAAAACACTAACTTTCATATCTGAAAGTATAAATGTAAGTTTTAAGTTAAGAATATGACATTTCAGTGTATTAAATTGTTAATTTATTATATTAAGCTGTAAATTTTATCTATTAAACGGTAACTGATTATATTAAGTTGTAAACTGACTGCAATTTACTGTGATTTTTTTTCATAAATTTTGTTTTAATGTTCTTATGAATATGTATTTATTTTTTATGTTGTATAAGTACGTAAGAATGCATTAGTTTTTGAATTCTTTAGTGTTAAGTTCAAAATGAGTGAATTAATAGGTTTATTAAATTATGAATGTAATATTTACCCTCTTATTGCATAACTTAATATACATATATGATTTGCAAGAAAAGATGGCTGCAACGTTGGTATACATGGTTGGTGACAATGTGTGGTTCTGGTGGTGGTGGTAGACTTTGGGTTTGACTTCTTTAAATTTGTGAATTTGTGTAAAATAAATTGTATTAAGTTGTGAATTTTTTGTATTAAATTGTAAATGGATTGTATAAAATTGCATTTTACATAATTTTGGTGTTAAAAATATAGAATGATTGTATGAATGACAATATTTGACTAAAAAAAATACAATTTTGCCCTTTTCTTAACAAAAAGACAAAACTTAAGATTTTAACATGTCAAGTAATATTCACAATACATATTATGTATTAAATGTGGGTTCTTAATCTTTTGTGGTACTCATTTGAACCACTCCCTATATATATATATATATATATATATATATATATATATATATATATATATATATATATATATAGTGTGCCCACAAGCATAATTCTGGACCAATGGATGAATAAAATCAATGGTCATGATCTGAGGATCTACGATATTACAATAGGGTAACATATACCATATAATCACACAAATTTCAGCAGAATGATGTTTTGGTCAATTAACTTGTATTAAAAAAGGAATTTTTTGGATTTTAAGGGATAATTAATCTCCTTTTTTTAATCTGAATTTTTAAATTAATTCTATTATAATTTGTAATACTAACCGATTTTATTCTGTTAGAATGACAGAGAGTCAAACATAAACGATAAATATATTTTCGATTTATTCTTACAAAATATGGTTCATTCAATATAGTTTTTATATTTAACATGCTTAAAGAAGTAAACAACATATTATCAAGAATAACATTTTCTAAAGAATACGAATGTTATTTTTTAAGAATCACTAATTACATTAATTCGTAAAGAATAAGATTTACATTTATTCTTACAGATTAAAACTAAGAATGGTTAAAAAATAAAAACAAAAACATCAAAATCTAATGAAAACACTAATCCATTCTGAAAGAATATTATTGTTAAGAAACACTTTATACATTCTGGCAGAATACACTCTGCTAGAATACTTTATTCTCCACGTTTTCTTCTTTTTCCATATCAATGACAGCCTCTTCAAAATCTATATCAACAAACAAAACATAACCAACTTTAAAATATTAAAAACGTTTAGTATATTCTAAAATAAAAAACTATAAATTCTAATAGAATGTGTTAGAAATTAAAGACTTTTAATTTATTCTAACAGAATGTAATACTCGAGTCACTTGATCAAGTATTCCCCGAGTCACTTGATCCAAACAATCGACTTACTCTAATTAAAATGATTCTAGAGCCTACATTGTAGCTAACACAGAGGACAATATGTTGGAAAAAGATCATATTATTTCAAGCCACTCTCACGGAAGAAGCATTTTCTGAGGTCGTGGGCCTCTCTTCCGCTCGTGATGTATGGACCACTCTTGAATCCGCCTATGGGAACTCTTCCATGGAATGTGTACAAAATCTTCGGGATCCACTACGGCTTCTCTCTAAAGGCATCTCCACTGATATGGGCATATTTAGTCATAAAATGCATGCATTATCTTAATACTTTATGTTGTTGTTGTCTCATATAATGAACCAAAGGTGCTTAATTAGCTTAAATACTTCACTTTCAGCAATAAATACATGCTCGGATGGAAAAGGAAGCGGAACTAGCTATTGGAAGCTTGGATCTTGGATTTTGACGAAAGAAAGATGTTGCTGAACAGCTTGACCCCTCGTCAGTGTTTTGGCTTTATCTCATTAACCGTAACTCCGATTGACGAGATTCAAAATGTTCTGAAAAGTAGAAACAATTTCGGATGACTTTCTTGTTTTGAGAAAATGCTGATTCGAAACATACTCGGAGATTATGGTCGATTACTCGGCGAGTTGTATCAAACTTTCGCGATTCTGGACGCGCTGACTTGCCGTACACGGGTTTTAAGTGACGGACTCGCCGAGTAGGTCACTGGACTCACCGAGTAGCCTCTGTTTTGTGAAAATCTATATAAAGGGACTTTCAGATTGATACCCTAGCATATAGATGAACCCTTGGAGGCCAATTGTCGACAAAAGGTGCTGCTGGAGCGTGGGAAGCAAGGGAATCAACCCTACATTCAATTTTAAGGAGAATCAAGTCAAAATCAAGTTTACTCTTACCTAATCTCTTGTTTGAACTATGTTTTACCAATTGATTTCGTTTTTGTACTTGTTTCAGCTGTAATCATGAGCTAAGAACTCATAACTTCTGTTTAGGTAGATGAATTTGTGAACATGGATTGATTATTTGATTAGGATTAATTTTAATTGGTGATTATGTTTTATTAAGCTTGTTAAAGAACCTTATGTGTTAACAATAACTATTCTTCTGTTAATAAATCAGTAATTAAGTTGTATGAACATCTCTTAGTTGCTAATTTCATATGATTTACGTGACCACATAGTTGTATGTCTAGGAATAACAAATGTGAAACTAGAATTAACTTGAAGATAGGTAAGTTAATGTGTGAGCTTGTGTGATACACCATCAACAAGAGGTTAATTGAATCACCAATTTGATTAGTCTTTCTAAACCCGAATCAACAAACTAGGAAATTCATTAATTTAGACAACTGGCCATTGCTTGAATTAATCTGTTTTCTAAGGATTAGCTATAACGAATGTGAATCTAATCACTTTAGTCGGAAACTAATGAAGAATTAATCTGATATATTTACCATAAAATCATCCATGGGAACAAATGATTCGAACCTAAACAGAAGGCCTTTTAATCATTGAATTTAGTTGATCTTTGTTTTCTTAGCTATTAGTTGCTTAGTTTGCGTGTTAGTAAAGTATTTAAGTTTCTAGTCTTGCAAAACTAGAGAAAACTTTTTTTTTTCTATTACTTGTTTTATTTAGATAATATTAGCATTTATTTTAATTGTTTACTGTTCCCTGTGTTCGATACCCTACTTGCTTGAACTATATTACTAATCGATAGGTACACTGCCTTTCGTGTGTTTATTTTGTGTCTAAGTTAGTAGCATTAAAACTAAGTGGTTTTACACACATCAAGTTTTTGGCACCGTTGTCGGGGAACGGTTCAAATAGTTAATTTTATTTGCTAATTGTTATCATTTATATTTTATTGATTTTTTTATATAGTTTAATTGTTATTTTTATTTTTTTTATTTTATTATGTATTTTCCAAATCTCAATGCTTTTGATGCTTTTCTTGAGGAAGTAGTGCAGGAAATTGGGCAAGAAGATGAAGCATATAACTTAGATGAAGATTTGAAGAAATTTGGAAGATGGTTAGATAACATCTTGCCAAACACAGAAGGGACATATGAGTTACAAGATGAAGAATTTAATCCAGAAAGAGACTTGGAGGAGCTGGAAAGATTGCTAGCAGAAGAGTCAGATGAAGAACAAGAACAAGCTTAGTTGCAGGAACCAAGCTGTGGTTTGACCATTACCACGACATGCCCCCCTGTATTTCCGGTTTGTGTTTCAAAGCATGGGGTGACGATTCCAACTTTGGAGAAAGTTCTAAATCATGATCCATTTATGATTAGTATCCAACCGGTTCCAACCCTTGTCAATGTTCTTGGGTTTTATGTATTCAAGCTCGTTTGGCCAATTTTTGAAGAAAATAGCCAAATTTTACAAATTGGTCAAAAGAAAATATTTAATGCAATGGATGGAATGACATTGATTTTATTAGAAGTTTAATAAGTTGGGAGTCCAGCTAAAGACTCGCACAAAAAGAAGCGCTTGCGGGAGGCAACCCGTCATTAGAGTTTTTTTTTCTTTTTCTTTTTAAACTTCTA